ATGTGCAGCTGGCGAACGAGGACTGCCTACAATGAGGGCTTTCCTCAAAGAAGCAAGGAGTCTTTGCCCTGGGGATGGGAAGAGGGTTGTTTTGTATTGTTTTGGGGGGAGTGGCAGGGGTTGAGACAGGGTTTCTCTGATCCCTCGGAGGTTTTAAATCTTCAACAAACCCTGTCCTGTTTCAATAGGCCTGTCTCCCCTGCCATTCCCCACCTACATTGACAGTTGGAAGGTGAAGCCAAGCTGAAGCCATTTCCTGGTGACTCAGGCCCCAGGCAATACCCAGAGCATGAAGCTCCTAGAAGCTTCTGACCTAACCAGGGAGACAGGAACAATGGCTTTTCTGAGCATCCCTGGGATGAGGTAAAGCCAGAATCCAGAAATAGGGAGGAAGTAGAAATTCTTTCTCCAGTGGATGGAGGACAGCTCCTTCTCTGCACTCAAGGGGACTTTCTAGATCCCACCTCCTAAGTCACTGGAGTCGGGTGTTGAGGGTGATGACACTCACGCAATCTTGTTAACTGTGGCATCCTCATCATCCACTGCAAGAGACAGACAGGAAGGGGAAGCAGCAGGGCATCAGTGGGCAGCTCTGGGAGCCAAATGCAGTAGAGCATGCCCCCACACCCAGCATGAAGACAGGGCTGAAAAGAGGCTTGGGGAAATCTTACACTACAGACCTTACAACCTATTCTCCAACCAAGCTGGCCATTTAGTGACACAGAATATGCCCGGAATGCCTCCCTCCCCACCCTCCCCTTCATCACTGTTGTAGCAGGTTCCTCTTCATGTAGGCTTAGATACAATAAACAACCTGCAGTCTGTGTGGCTGTTCACCTCAGTGACTGGGTGAAAGGAAAGCAGTGCTAGAAGGGGAAGAGCGGGTTCCCAAGAGAAGTCCCCGAAGGAACAGCGCTACTGTAGATGGCTTGGCTGGGTGTTTGAGCAGGTTGGGTTGAGGCTCTAAAAGAAAGTGTGTTTCTGACCCCATCAGAAACTTGTGGGATGCAAAGCCACGGTCTGAGAATACTCAGTCTCTCTACAAAGAGAAAGACCACCATTACACACCCTGGGAGAGGTTGGGTTCCAGTGCGGAAGCACTAGGAAAGGAAATGACACAAACATATGATCTCAGCAGCTGACCTCAGGTTCAGAAATGGCCCTCACTCGGGCCTCCCAGTGACAAGGCACCTGGTGGATGCCTATTTTATAAGAAGAAACTGAGGATGAGAAAAGCTACATGGATGCTAGGTGGTAGCAGCACTTGCCTTTAATCCCAGCACTTGGGAGGCAGAGGTAGGCAGATCTCTGAGTTCAAGGCCAGCCATGTCTACAGACCGAGTTCCAGGATGGCCAGGGCTACACAGAGAAACCCTGATTCAAAAAGGAAATAATAGAAAAAAGAAAAGAAAAGTTACACGGACTGAGATGTGGCAGCACACATGATAACATGAGCCTGGTATTTGGGAGACAGAGACAGGCAGGCGTTCAAGGTCATCCTTAGCTACACAGACAGTTTGAGGCCAGCTAGGAATACAGGAGATGTTGGCGATAAGACAAAATAAAATCAAGAAACAAGTGCCTGATTTTGAAAAATCCACAATAAAACATTTGTACTCTAACTTAAAAATATACAGATAAAGTTATGTGGGGTGTCCAGAGCTTGCAGACATTCATCTATCTAGACTTCCTACTGCCACCTTAGCTCTGCTTGTGGAAGAGCAGGGGCTGAAGAGGCCACAGATTCAGAATAGCCAGCGGAGGGCCGATCCTTTCCCAACAGGCGCCATCACCCACGGTCCTCTGAGGATGGCTCCATGGCAACTGAAACCCTGGAGAAGGCAGGGAAGTGAAAGTACCTGTGGTGAACTCAGCAGGCTTCTTGAAGCGGGTCAGGAAGATGTGGCAGAGAATGTACAGTGTGGCAAACAGAAGTATTGAGATCTGTGGCAAAAAAGCAACCTGGAATGAGAAGTTCTAGAGGCACCAGCACACTCCACAGCTGCAGGGCCTCACTGTAAAGCTCCACTCGCCCTGGGATGTTTCTCAGTGGTGCCTTCCTTCTAGCTAGCAGGGCCCCAAGAAGGACCAAATGGAGGTTGTCCCGCATCCCTGGGAAACCATGCCAACAGTGCCAATCAGGCCAGAATGAGAGACTAACTTTGAGAACTTTGTGGAAAGTAACAGGCTTGGGAAAAATGTCTACGTTTTCTTGGCACAGCCTCTTACTCTACTCCAGTTGCTGTCATGAGAAAGTATGCTTCAGGAGCTACTGTGTACGAATCACATTTATCAGAACTTGTGCTCTGTTGATTCCCTCAGGACCTGAAACGTCAGGTCTGCTCTGGCAAACTCAAGCCCATTTAGCCCAAGAGAAGGCTTTAGTCAGGCCCAACATTTCCAGAGCTGGTTATCTGTCACTTGAAAAGTTGTCCTGACACCCTACCACAAGTAACTTCCAACTTCAGGGCCAGGTTTCTTAGGACCTACTCAAGGTCCTAAGTGGTTAGACCTCCAACTGACAGGGCAGGACAGGGACAGATTAATTAGTACATGTGTCACATCTCTACACTACCCCAAAGTCAGAGAATACATATATGTATGTATGTATATATATGTATTCACACATATAAAGATGTCATTGCATTTGAGTGGGCAAGGACAAGCTCAGTCTCATGTGTCTTCTAGTCTCCGAGAGGAACTTATGGTACAGGAACTCTATACAGTGACAAGCAGAGACCAAGAGAGTCCTGCCTCTAGAGTAAAGCTGCAGCTTTTGACTTAGGGACCCCCACGGAAGGAGCATGTGCAGCGGCTGCTGCATCTTCACAGCAGGGTGCTCTGCCCCACTCAGCCTGGAGTGTGCGTAATAGCTAAGGCAGAAGAGCTCAAAAGGTCAGGCTTGGAGTTCCACCCACTTCCAGTAGATGCTAGGTTGTTTTCTCTCTCTCTCTCTCTCTCTCTCTCTCTGTCTCTTTCTGTCTCTCTGGAGTTTTTCAAGGAAGGGTTTCTCTGTGCAGCCCTGGCTTTCTTGAAACTCTGTAGACCTGGCTGGCCTTGAACTCAGAGAGCCACCTGCTTCTGTCTACCAAGTGCTGGAATTAAAGGCATGTGCCACTATCCCCTTATCTAGATTGTTCTTTAGCTTCTAGATGGGAGGAGCTCCAAGGAGGAGGCACTAGAAACCTTCAGCTGTCCTTGGCTGGAGCTGATGTCCTTAGCTGACGGCTTAGACAGCAGCAACATATAAGAAGCACTTTCTCAGGGCTCATCCCTCCAGGCTGTCAGCATCTTAGGGCCTGGATGCGCTTCCACAGTATGCAACAGTGTGTTCCTCTCCCCAGGAACACATAAGGGATGCTACTTGACTCATTCTTCTGGGGCCATACACTTTCCAGCCCTCGTTGCTAATGGCAGACCTACCTATCCTCTTTCCCTTTACCCTTTCTTCAACCTAAGCATACCTAGGGGTAGCCTGAAGCTCAACCTGAGAAAATTGAAGGATGACTCCATCTATGCTCTCCCCTCAATTCAGTAAGGCTTATTTCCACTCCTCCAAACCCTGCCCCTTTCATTCAGTATGTGCAGAGCTCTGTGGGAGAAACAGCAGACGCGGAGATGATCATTCAAAACAGGCCCAAGGAAAATAATACTTCCCCGAGTTCCACGGTGGTGCTCCTAGGCTACAGTTCACTGCTGTCTGGAAGGTTCACCTACAATTCTAGGTTACCCTGAGGGTACAAGAAACACAGACTTGATGTGCTCAGGACCACTTCATGACAGACACACACACACACCCGCCACTCACAGGAGAACTCCGCGAAAGGAAAGCTTTGGAAACTCAGCCTTCCAGAGTGTCAAACAAACTATCAGGAAGTGGAGTGGTGCGGGGGGTGTGTCGATGTGTTGGCTTGTGTTTGGCACGCCGCATGCCAGAGGCCCAGGATTCAATCACTGCTGAAGGGGGAAACTTTGGGATTTCTCCATCTCCACATCTTACAACCCCGTTCGGACAGGATTCCTTTCCACCTCAGTGGGAGGACCCCCCCAACACACGCACCCCCAACTCTTCCCTCGAGCCACCACCTCACTTCCCTAGGTAACTGCTAAATGTGACCGAGTCTCCCTTCATTCCAACACCGGCGACGGTTGGCCGCTCTCCCCGGGCCGAGCAGCTTCTCCACCCGGGAGAGGACCCACCGCCGGGAACGCCCCCCGGGGTGGGGTAGGAGGGGCGGGGGAGGGGCGAGCAGCAGAGGAACGGAAACCCGGCCGCTTTGTTTACGGCTCGGGGACCCAGCCGGCCCGACTCCGGGGCTCGCCGTCGGGGCCCGGCCCTCGCAGGGGCCGAGGTGCCCGGAGCTCGGGCGGCCGGACTTCCCGTCGCCACCGCTGCCCGCGCCCCTCCCACCTCGGCCCGGCCCCTTCCCGCCCAGGTCCCGCACTCACGATGCACTCGCGGACCCGGTCGTGGAACAGCTGCTCTCGCACGGATAGCACTTCGTAGTCAGCTGCTTCCATGCTCTGCTCAGCATGACTGGGGCGGGGCTGTCTCCGGGCCCGGGGAGGACGAGCGGGGATGAGGCCGCCGCCGCCCGCCGAGCACCCGGACCCAGCCTGGGAGCCGCTCCTCGCTGCCCGTGACGGAAACTCAAGGTAATCCGGAGCTCAGATTCAGTCGTCGGACGCCCCGCCCTTAAAGGGGCAGGCCCCAGCCCGCCTGGTCTTAAAGGGCTCCGGACCCCCTCGGGCCCCTCCCCTTTAAGGTGGGGTCGCTCCCAGTCGCGTCTCAACGCAATTACCCGCCGCCGGGCTACGCGGAAGCGCCAGGCTGCGTGCTTTGGTTTTGAGAGGCCCCGTGACGACACAAGGCCTGGGCGGGAGCCTTCCGGAGAGCGGAGCTTATTGGCTCCCCGCCGGCTGTCGCTCATCCTGAGGAGTGCGCTGATAGGGTAGTTTGGGAAGAAGGCGGGATATTGTTGGCCAGTGGACGCCACTGTTCTAAAACTCAGAGTCTGTTCGAGCCGCTCCGGGGTATCAGCATCCGGCACGGTTTTAGAAGTGGATGGCTCGGATCGGGCCAACCGGCCGAAATGTAAAGAGCGCCGCGGGGTTTCCGGAAGGGCCCATAGCGCTTTCTGGAAGTGTATTTGTTATTGGAGGTCCCGTCACCCCTGACAGCTTTCACTCTATCGGTTTTGTGGAAGGCCTAGGGTTTTAGACAACAAATAGTAAAAAAAAAAAAAAAAAAAAAAAAAAAAAAAGACCATAGAAAATGTTGTTTCGTTGAGACAGGTCTCGCCTTTGCAAACCAGGCTAGCCTTGAATTCTCAGCGATCTTCCTCCAGTTGATTGCCAGAAGATAGGCGTGTCCCACCAGGCCCGGGCTATTCTGAAACTGTATGGGAACGTCCACAGGGAATATTGGTGAGTGGACAGAATCAGACACTAACTACTTACCCCCTGTGTGTCGTTCTCTTTATAACCCTTATCTAATTTTAACATTGTAGCAAGAATTTGAGACTAGGAAATAGAGGTTGTCAACGGGCCTATTTAAGACTTCAGACTCCAGCTGGGCGTTGTGGCCTACATCTTTAATTTCAGCACTAGAAAGGCAAAAGCAGGTGGGTCTCTTAAGTTCAAGGCCAGTCTGGTTTACATATGGAGTTCCAGGCCAAGTAGAGTAACGTGGTAAGAATCTGTTTTAAAAAAACCAAAACAAACTAAAAACCACATACTTGTGTAGACACGTGTCTACATAGTTGGCCCTCTATATAGCCTACCCTATTCATGTAGCTCCAGGTTCTAGAGAGAGACCGCATCCAAAAAAAAAAAAAAAAGAAAAGAAAAGAAAAGAAAAAATGGGAGTACAAAGAGAGACCATGTCTCAAAAAAAAAAAAAAAAAAAAAAGCATCAAAAATAAATTTGGGGCTGGGAATGTAACTCAGTGGTAAAGAGCTTAGCTTGTACAAGGTCTTGGGTTTGATCCCTAGTACCATGAAAAAAAAATTGAGAACAAAATCATATCTGTACTGAACATGTATAGCCTTGTGTGGTCTGGTCATCCCTAAACAATATAGTGATAACTATTTACAAAGCATTTACATTGTATTAAGGGTTATAGGTTCTCTAGGGATGATTTAAAGTATTCTGGAGGATATGCATAGGTTATATACAAATTATACAATATTTTTTGAGGTCCCTCTCCATATAGCCCTAGCTTTCTTAGAATTTGATATTTAGACAAGGCTGGCCTTCAATTCATAGAAACCCTTCCGCCTCTGTCTTCTGAGTGCTGGAATTAAAGACATGCCACTATGTCCCACTCTACACCATTTTAAAATGTTTTGTTTGTAATAAGTTTATTATATATATATATGTTCTGTGTGTGTGTGTGTGTGTGTGTGTGTGTGTGTGCTTGTGTGAGCACCTTCATTCCAAGATACATGTGTGGAGGTCACAGAACAACACTGGGGAGATAGTTTTCTCTTTCCATAGGGTGGGTCCCAACAATTGAATTCAAGTCATCAAGCCTGGCCATCAAGTGCCTTTACAGGCCGTCTGAGTCCTCAGATTCTTATTTCAACTATGAAAAGCATTGTGCTTTAATGAGAATATGGAAATGCAAGTCAAATTGAGGAAAGGTGTGCTGGTACATGCCTATAATCCCAGCACACGGAAGGCTGAGGCCAAGGTAAGTTGGCCAGCTTGAGCTGGTGAGTTCCAGTTTAGCGTGGACTACCTAACAAGTCCTTATTTCAAAAATAAAGCCAAAATGGACACTGTCTCAACAAAATGAAAAAAAAAAAAGGACATAGAGTAAAACCAGAACATTTCATTCATGTTACCTTGATTGGCATGCATGAGAATAAGGTCTATAGTATGCCAGGTGCTAGGCATGGTGAGTAGACAGAAATAAAGGACCTGGCTCCTGCCTTCAGAGAACTAAGAACCTGTAGCAGTAGTAACAGGGAGAAGGAGGCCAGGGACTTGGTTGAGTTGCAGGGTGCTGGCATGTGCAAAGCCCAGGGTTTGGTCCCCAACACTGTATAGGTGGACATGGCGGTGTAGAAGAGTGGCGCACACCTGTAAACCCAGCACTCAGGGAGGAAGAGGCAGGCACATCCCCCAGAGCAGGTGCTTACAGCCACCTGTAGCTCCAGATCCAGGGGGATCTGAAACTCCTGACGTCTTAAGGAACCTGCGCTCATGTGACTTTACCCACGTACAAACCCACACATGTGCTGGCTTGAATGAAGCCAGGCACAGGCTCATTATATTTGCTGGTACTCAGCTGAAGGATCGGGGAAGGGTCAGGAGGTGTGGCCTTATTGGAGGAGGTATGTCAGTGGGAGCAGGCTTTGAGGTCTCAGAAGCCCATGCCAGTCCCTCTCTACCTGCTTCCTGCTTGTGGATCCGATGTGGGCTCTCTGTTACTGCTCCAGTGCCTGCCTACAGGTTGCCTACCCGATGCCATGCCCCTCACCATGACGGTCATGGACTCACCCTCTGAACGCTAAGCCGCCAACAAACTCTTTTTCTGTAAGTTGCTTTGGTCCTAGTCCCTATCACTGCAATGTAAAAGTAACTGAGTGGTAAATTGCTACCAGGAAGTGGGTTATCACTGTGGCAGGCCTGACAGTGCTGGCTTTGGAAGAGTGTGGAAGACTCTAAGAGTTTGGACTAGGAAATTGGTGGAATGCTATAATCAGGGCTTAACAGACGTAGTACTGAGAGCAACGTGGGCTATGGAAGCCCAGCTCAAAAGGTTTCAGGGAGGAACAACAGTAACCCCTGACTAGAGACCATTTTTGGGGTAGTTCGGTAAAGAACGTGGCTACTTTTTTATTTTGTCCTAAGAATCTGCCTGAAGCTGAACTGAAGAGCTTTGAAGTAATTTTGTTGGCAGAGGTGGCTTCAAGTCAGCCTGATGCTCTCTTTGTCACTTGGTTATCAGTGAGCAGCTCTTATGAAAAAGAGCAAGCATGGCAAAAGAAATGTGAAACGAACAGTTTGAGGAGACAAAGGTCATCAGGAATTTTAATGTTGGAGCCAAAGCTTGTGCTGAAGGACCAAAGAAGACACCTGATGTAAAATAAAGGGAGTGGTACCCTCAAGACCCCCCATTCAGCTGATTCTGCTGCTTGTAAGATGGAAAGCTTATACAACAAAGGGAGCCAGGCAGCCGGGCATGGTGATGCACGCTTTTAATCCCAGCACTCAGGGAGGCAGAGGCAGGCGAAGCTCTATGAATTTGAGGTCAGCCTGGTTACAAAGAAAGTCCAGGAGAGCCAAGGCTACACAGAGAAAGAAACAAACAAAGGAAGCAACCAGTCAGAACTTATGCAAATATAATTCAAGGAAGAGGCCAAGTTCTAACCCAGAAAGAAGGCAGCCTACCATGGCCGTCAGCCACATGGCTCTTTCTTTATTTCTTCTTTGTTTTCTTTCTTTCTTTCCTTTGTTTGTTTGTTTGTTTGTTTGTTTGTTTGTTCTGGCTTTCAAGACCAAGTTTTCCTTGTGGAGCCATGGCAGCTCCTTTGTAGACCAGGCTGACCTCAGACTCAGAGACCTACTCTATACCGCCCGGCTTACACCACCATTGCCCAGCTCAGCTTGCACCACCACTACCGGCTCGTACCACCACCCCAGTGGTTCTTTCTTTAGAGTCTCGAAGGATACAAGAGGAAAAGGGGTTGCAGCATTTTCCTCCACAGTAAAGGGAAACCACAGAGGCCAGGTGTGGCACAGGGAGGCCCGGCATGTAGGCCAGAACAGGCCTTTTCATGAGGCTATGCAAGTGAAGCCTGGACTGTACTGAGACCCCAAGATGTTTGAGTTGCCAGAGCTGTGGGATATCTGCCAAGGAGAGCTTCAGATACACAGTAGAACTAGCCAAAGAGAAAAATGCGTTGAAGTCAGCAAAGCTGGAAGGGCGGAGCCATGTGAGTTCTTTGGAGTTTGCCCTGCTGGATTTCTGTCTTCTTTTGGTCCAGTATTTCAATATTTCCTTAGTATTTTCTCCCATCACTCTCCTTTGGAATAGTAATGTATATTCTGTTCTGTCAGAAGTATTCACTTTGCTTTCTTATTTTATTTGCAGAGGGTTTTAATTAAGAGAGTGCTGCGAGCCTCAAGAGACTTTTGACTCTTACACTATGCTGAAACTGAAAGACTTGAGACTTTTGCAGTTGGACTATGATCAGATGTGCTCTCTCAGCAACTGCTGCAGAGCCATGCCTGCCTGCTGCCCTGCTCCCCGCCTGATGGTCATGGACTCCAACCCTCTGGAACTGTGAGCTCCAATTTAAATGCTTTCTTTTATTAGTCGCCTTGGTCATGTTTTGTCACAGTATAGAACAGTAACTGAGGCCTAACGACACATCATTTAAAATAATAAATATAAAATCTTTTTAAAATAAGACCCAGGTGTGGTGGCATACGCTTTTAATCCCAGCACTCGAAGAGGCAGAGGCAGGCAGATCTCTGCAGGCTTGGGGTCAGCCTGGTCTCCATAAGACATCCAAGGCCTCTGTCTCTAAATAAATAAATAGAGCTATAGATAAAAATTTTACAAAGAAAGGGCTGAAGACATCATGGCTCGGAGCTTAAGAGCGTGCATTGCTTTTGCAAGGGACCTAAGCTGGGTTCTCATCATATAGGTTGCACAGTTCATATCTACCTATACCTCAGCTCTAGGGGGATCTGCCCACCTGTGCATAGATACACATGCACATATTCACGCTCTCATAATTTTAAAAAGATGTATTTTTAAAAGAATTAGAAAAAGAAAGTTGTAATAATAAAGTATGCCAAGTTGATTAAGGGAGAGAATGTTTTTGTGGTGGGGAAGAATCGTCTGCCCTAAAGATCACTCTATGTCCTTCAGAGGCAGTATAGTGGTAGTGGCTTTGCTTTGATTTGGGTCCATCTTTTTCCAAAACAGTTCCCACCCCTCCCCTCCCCACCCCTCTCAAGCAAGCCTGTGATATTTATGTGGTATTGCACCCTGTATCTATTCCTGACCTACACCTGAGGCCAGAATGTTTCTTAAAGAGAGATCTGACCCAGGCGTGGGGTGCTCACCTTTACACACTCAGGAGGCAGATGCAGGTGGATCTCTGTGTTCAAGGCCAGCCTGGTCTACAGAACTATGGCAGCCAGAGTTACACAGGCAAACCATTTCTTGAACCTTCCCTAAAAACAAACGCCCAACACACACACACACACACACACACACACACACACACACACCCAAAAAACCCCAGCGATCTGACAGAACGGGAATGCAGACCCGTGGCTCTCTAGGGGGAGTGGGGTGTGCCCTGGTACACACCGCACACCACGTAGTTTTACACCTTACGAGATTTTCTATCTATTCTGTCAGCCCAGATTTTGTATCTTCTATTGTGTAGACCCTCTCTACTGTAAGTGGGCCTTACCCTCACTCTGGCCTTCTATCAGTCCCTAGTCAACCTTGCCAAGCCCTTTCCAACCTCAGGACTCAGTTTGTGTGTTGCTTATCCAAGATGACTCTTTTCCCTTCCCAGCTCACTTGTGGCAGTCTCCAGTAGCCCTGGATGACCTTGAATTCTGATCTTTCCCTCCCTTTATCTCCTGGCATAAATGTTACAGCTCAGAGCAGTCCTCCCCACTACTTTATCTAAAGAAGCCTGTTTTTTTTATTTTTAAGTTACTTGTTTATGTCTATGTGTGTGTGTCCAGGTACATTTGTGGCTCTATAAAGTATGAGGTCAGAGGGAAACTTTCAGGAATGGATTCTCTCCTTCTATTATTTGGTCCTTAGGACGCATACTCAAGCCATCAGATTTGGTGGCAAGTGCTAAACCATTTCACCAGCCTAATGAATCTGTTTTTTTATCAGAAGTTGCCATAATGATATTTAATTTGTTTATATTAGTCTATATTGGCCTTCTCCAGTATAGACTTCTCTAGAGAAAGAATCATGTTTGTCTTGAACAGAGTGATTCTCTTAGCTTTTAACCTGGTGCCCAATACATGAGAACAAACATCTCTGAGCTCAAGGCCAGCCTGGTCTACACAGAGGGAGTTCCAGTCAGGATACCCAGAGAAACCCTGAAAAACAAAACAAAACAAAACAAACAAACCCCAAAGTACCACTGAATCATGAACAGATTTCCATGTATAATATTCCCTATGCTGATCTCAAACTGTTTCTCCTACTTCAGCTGATTGAATGCTTAGAATCACAAGCATGGACCACATTCTTTTCTTTAAATGACAATAGCAGAAACTCTCCATTTAGCTTATACACGTTTTCATTTCATATTTGTTTCAGTGTGAGAATGCCTGCTTGGTGTGCTTGAGGTCTGAGTTTGAACCTCAGGAACAATAAAAAGACAAAGAAGGCAAGGCCATAGGAACACACACACAAACACACATGCACGTGAATTTCTGTGTCCTGTGTCTGTCCCTCCCAATCCCCACTCCCACCTCTGGTTTTCCAAACATGGTTTCTCTAGTGCTGGGATTCAAGGTGCGAACCATCAATCACCCAGTAACTCTGCCTTCCTTATTTATGTAGCTCTTACTCTGACCCTTTGAGCTCCGTCAGTTGGGAGTGGCTTATAGACTTGGCCGAGGGGAAGAAGCTAGTTTTAGCAACATAGTAACCCTAGTAGCAGCTACAAGATAACCATCAGTGATTATTACTTTGTATCAGTGTTGAGTTTAGGTTAATGTAGCAACATTCTCTTTCTTAGTTCTTGTTGACGATAAGGCCATGCGTTTGAAATTGTCTTGGAGAAGGGGTGGAGGTTGGGGCTCAGGTCAAGAAACTTCTTGCGGGTGGGGTTGCCTGTGGCTGCCTGATTCACAGTGACCTAACACCAGACACAGCTTCCTCCAGTAGTTGTCAGAACGAGAATTGACAAGCCGGTGAGTGCTAGGGATGCCCTCTCCGGTCACTTCCTGTCTGTTGCATTTTTTGAGCCTTACCTCCAAGGTGATGGCAAGGGCAGCCTGCATTCACCAGACTCAGCTCAGCTTTCCTGGATGGAGAACTCCTTGCCGGTGGTGCCCTCTGCAGGGCGTTAAGGAACTTGCTGCGCATTTTATGGGCTTGGGAGGGGTAAATGCCATCTCAGGCTAGAATGTTCTTCCTGCCTTCTATCTTTTACTGTCTATTCTGGATCACAGCATGGATCCCCTTAAGGCTCAAAGATCCATATACCCTCTGATCCTGTAAGAGGCAATATTTAAAGTGGGACACAAAGTATCATTTCCTTTCTTCCTTGTCGATTAAATCTGTCATCTGTAAGATGAGAGACTATCTGGAGCCCTCCGATTTTAATACTGACCTCAAGAAAATGAATTGGACAAATTTTAACTTTGTGGGAGCTTTGTTGTCATTTGTTTTTGTTTGTTTGTTTTGGCAAATGTTGAGGCTAATGAGATAGCAAGTCTGACCACCTAAGTTTGATCCCCAGAATCCATATGGTGGAAGGAGGGAACAGTCACCACCTTCTACGCTTACAGGGCCTAACAGGCTCCGTCCTTACCTAGTAATTCCTGTGAGCAAGAAAGGCATAACAGAAATCTGCTGTGCAGAAGAGTAAATTACCTATTAACCAGAAGATAAGAGGAGCATCACAAGAGTTAAGTGTCTCTAATCCTAGGGACAGGCCTTCAGGACTCACCTTCTCCAGAAGTGGTGAAGAGGGTGGTGCCTGTAAGGAGAAGGTTTGAGTTTTATAACATTTACATTGACTGAACAATAAAGGCCCTAAGATGGCCATGTACAGTTGTACTTGCCTGTAATCCTAGCATTTGGGATGCTGAGGCAGGAGGACTGCCGTAAGTTAAAGGTCAGGCTGGGATACATAGAGAAACCTGTGTTTGTTTGTTTTAAAAAGGCTGTGTTTGTCAGTGCACGCCTTTGATTCCAGCACTATAACAAATAATAAAATACAAGGCTGAGCGGTGATACACACACTCAAGAGGCAGAGACAGGCAGATCTCAGTGAATTTAAGGCCAGCCTGGTCTCCAGCCGGGACACCCAGGGCTACACAGAGAAACCCTGTCTCGAAAAAACAAAAACCAAAAAACAAATAAGACCCCTCTCCCCCAAAACAAACAAAACTGGATTAAGAGGAAAACAATCCTGTTTTAATAATTTTGTCAGTGGCACAGGCTTGTAATCCCAGCACTCTGGGAAGCAGAGGCAGGCGGAACTCTGTGTGTTCGAGGCCAGCCTGGTCTACAAAGTGAGGCCAGGACAGCCAAGGCTACATAGGGAAATCCTGTTTTGAAACACAACAACAACAAAAAATAAATAAACAAAAAAATTTTTTGAACTTTCTGTGGCCACAAACTTTACCAGAACAACTGCACCTTGAACAACTGACCCTCTCTCCTTCACCTCTTGAGTGTTGAGATTGTAGGACTCAGCCACCATGCCAGGTTGAATGCAGTGCTAGGGACCAAGCTCAGTGCTTCATGCATGCTAGGAAAACATTCTACCAGACTGAAATGCAAACCCAGCCTCTACAATCCCTAAATTTGTTATTTTATGATGTTCTATGTAGTCCTGGCTGTCCTGGAACTCACAATTTAGAAGAGGCCTGCCTTGAACTCAGATTCACCTGCCTCTGCCTCTTGCATGTGGGGATTAAAAGTGCATGCCACCGCTGTGGGATGTTTTTTATTTGCAAGGTCTTTACCAGAAAGTTATTTTTATTTTTATTTTTTCAAATCTCCCCCGAGCTTCAGAGATGCCCTTAAGAGCTTCTCCCTGTATCTTCATTCATCTTTCTGTCCCACTAAGCCCACAGTTTTCACATGAAACTCGCACACCTGGCACAATTTCCCTTGCAAACAGGTTTTTTTTTTTTTTTTTTTTGTTTGTGTGGTGGGTGTCCCCACATGTGTGGAGGTCAGAGGTCAACCTCAATGTTGCTTTTCAGCTGCCCACCTTGTTTTGAGTTTCTTTATTGAAACAGTTTTCTACCTGCATATGTGCCAGCAGGCCACAACAGGGCACCAGGTCTCATTGTAGATGGTCATGAGCCACCATGTGGGTGCTGGGGATTGAACTCAGGTCCTCTGGAAGAGCAGCCAGGGCTGTTAACCTCTGACCATCTCTCCAGCCCCTTTGTTTTGAGTTTCTTACCTTTGTTTTTATATGTATTTATGCGGGTAATTTGAGTGCAGGTGCCAGAAGTCAGAGGTGTGCTTGGGTGAACTTGGGTCCTCTGAAAAATAACACTGTTGAGCCATCTCTCTATGTTAAGATAGAATCTCTCACTGGGATA